TGTAATGGAATTCATGCTATGCTCCTATAATACATCCTACTAGTGGAACATAATTTCTCTCTTTTTGAAAAAAAACTTTAAAAAATTTATTTATTATTTTTATTTTATGTATATGCATGTATTGCCTGCATGTAGGTAAGTGCACCCATGTCGTGCAATGCCTGTGGAGGTCAGAAGAGGCTGTCAGATCCCCTGGGACTGGAGTTATGGACAGTTGTTAGCTGCCATGTGGGTGCTGGGATTCAAACCCAGGTCTTCTGCAAGAACAACCAGTGTTCTTAACTGCAGAGCCATCTCTCCAGCCCCCATCATTTCTCTTTTTAGTTTTCTTAATCTGTGTGTGTTCGTGAGTGCCAGTATATGTGGTCAGAAGAATGACCTCAGTAGTTGTTCATCTCCTTCCACCTCTTTTGAGACTGTCTCTTGTTCACTTTGTATACCAGGTTAGTGCCCACAAGCTTCTGAGGGTCCACTGACCTCTGTCTCTATTTCACCACAGGAACTATACTGGTCAGTTTTTATTGTCAACTTGACACAAACTAGAGTCACATTGGAAGAAGGAACCTATTTATTTATTTATTTATTTATTTTTTGAGAGAGGGTCTCTCTGTAGCTCTAACTGGCTTGGAACTCACTATGTAGACCAGGCTGGCCTTGAACTCACAGAGGCTGCCTCTGCCTCCCAAGCACTGGGATTAAAGGCGCATGCACCATCATGCCTGGCTTAAGACGAAACCTCAGTTGAGGAATCTCCTCTATCAGATTGTCCTGTAGTCATGTCCGTGTGGCATTTTCTTTTTTATAAAAATATTTTATTTATTTTTAAAAATGTGTATGACTATATTGCCTGCCTGTATGTAAGTGTACCTGTGTCGTGCAATGCCTGCAGAGGTCAGAAGAGGGCTTCGGATCTCCTGGAACTGGAGTTATGGATAGTTGCTAGCCACCATGTGGGTGCTAGTAATTGAACCTGTGTCCTCTGCAAGAGGAGCCACCAGTGCTCTTAACCACTGAGCCATCCCTCCAGCCCCACATGTGGCATTTTCTTCATTGCTAATTGAGGTAGGAGGACCCAGCCTACTGTGGGCAGTGCCATCTGTGGGCAGGTGGGTCTGGGTTATATAAGAAAGCTGGCTGAACAGGGTGTGATGGCACACACCTTTAGTGCCAGCACTGGGGAGGCAGAAACAGGCAGATGTCTGTGAGTTTGAGGCCAGACTCTGTTTCAAAAGCTGGCTAAGCATGAGCCAGAGAAAGCCAGTAAGGAGAAATTCTCCATGGTTTCTGATTCAGTTCCTGCTTGAGTTTCTGTGCTGACTTCCCTCAGTGAAGGATTAGGACCTGGAAGTGTAAGCCTATAATAAACCCTTTCCTCCCCAGTTTGCCTTTGGTTATGGTGTTTATTACAGCAACAGAAAGCAAACTAGGACAGAAATTCTGGGATTAAAGATGTGCTACTGCTCCCACTTTACATGGTTTCCTGGGATTTGAACTCAGGTCCCCAACCTTGCTTGGCAAATGCTTTACCCACTGAGCCATCTCCCCAGCCAGAACACAACTTCTATGCATTCTAGTATAACAATGTTCATATTGTTCATTTAACGAACATGAGGTTTCACAGAATTCTTCATTGTAAGTTTACTTTCTTCTATTTGTAATTGTAATTAATAATAATACTTGGGTGGCAGGCATTTTTGAAAATATGTAAATATCTTCTTTATTGATTTATTCATTATTTAAATATATCACCATGAGTTTATGGTTTCCTGTTGCATTCAATGGCTTATACTCTGTTTGTTTGGTCTTTTTGAGACATGGTCTCCCTGTAGCCTGAGCTGGCCTGGAACTCACTATGTAGACCAGGCTGGCTTGAACTCAGAGACCCACCTGCCTCTGCTGGGACTAAAGGCAGGTGCCACCACACCCAGTAATGGCATATAGTCTTTTAAAAATGATTAAAATTTATTTTTTGTTCAAAAATTTCTTATTTATGTGGATGAGTGTTTTGTCCACATGCATGTAGCTGCACTATCTGCATGCCATGCCCATGGAAGCCTGAAGGGGGCATTGGATCCCCTGGATTAGCTGCCATGTGGCTAGAAACTGAATCTGGGTTCTCTCCAGTGATTTTAACTGCTGAGCCATCTCTCCAGCCCCCTTAATAATGATTATTTTGATGCTGAGTTGTCTCAGATCAGTTTGGAACTTATTTAAGCTGTCCTATGAGACATCCCCATCAATCTTTGACCACTTTCTTATTTTTTGGCACAAGAGGATCAGGATCCTCTATTGGCATAAGAAGTAATTTCTGTAAGGATTCCTGGTTCCTGTTAGTGGAGAATGATACTTAGAAGCCAAGAGCTGGGTAATACGTGTGTTCATTATTACTGGGGTCCTTTTGCTCTAAGTTTTCCTAGTAAACAGAGCCAGAAGAAACACACACATATCAAAATATGTGCACATATGGGTTGGTGATGTAACTCAGTTGGTAGAGTGCTTGTCTAGCATGAATCAGGCCCAGGGTTCAGTCCCCAGTACCACAAACACTGGGTACAGTGGTGCATGCCTGTGATCCTAGGTCTTGAAGGGTAGAGGCAGGAGGATTAGACATTCAAGGTCATCCTCTGTCACATAGCAAATTCACTACATAGTGAGTTGGAAGTCAGCCTGGACTACATAAGACCTGTCTCCAAAAAGAAAAAAAATTATATACATATATACATACATCTATATTTACTTCTATGTATTTTAAGCACCAAACTGGCACTATTTCTTATAATCCAGAGTTCGTTTCTCTTTTCCTATTTGTAACCCTTTTCTGATAGTGAGAAACTAGACCCATTATTCTTTCTTTCTTTCTTTTTTTTTTTTTTTTTTTTTTTTTTTTTTTTTTTGAGACAGGTCTCCCTGAAGCTGGTCCGAAACTCACTATGTAGACCAGGCTGGCCTCGATGATCTAACAGATATCTGCCTGTTTCTGCCCCCAAGTGCTGAGTGCTGGGATTAAAGGCATGTGCCACCATGCCTGGCTTCCTTCCTTATTTGCTATGAGGGTAAGAAATCTTTCAGTTACGGCAGCCCCCTCCCTTGGAGGAAACACCTTTTACCCTACTCATCAGGCTGGCTGCCTCCCTCCTCCATGTCTCCTTACCTGTGTTCTGTTGTCTGTCTTCAGGTCTCTGATACCTTAGCCCCCCAAGCACTGATGCATACTCTGCTCTGCTTGACATTTAGGACTAAAGGAAGGGGAAAAAAGGAAAGGCAAAGGAAACGAAGAGAAAAGAGTCCCTGATTTCTTTAGCATGATTTTCTAACCAATTCTTTTATTATTACAAACAAAATGGAAATGAATCATTGTATCTATACAAGATTAGTGTATGTTCAAGATAAATTTGTAGCAGTGAATTTGGTAGGCCCAAGAATATATGCATGTGTAATATTTGTTACATTATATTGCTTTCTACAAAAGTTTAATGTGGGCTGCAGACTGCTTATCCTGAATAGGACACTTATCAAACTTCTGCCTCCCACCAATCAGGGATCATTGCCGAGGCTGGGGGTTGGGGGGTGTGGGCAGAAAGATTGTGTAAGAGCCAGATGTGATGGACAACCACGAGGAAATAGTTTCCCAGACAGCTGGGCAGTTACTTATATGAAGTCACAGCAGTGGTGACAGCATGCCCAAGTCCCACATAAGCTCCAGCCACATAAAATTGCAGTATAGATGTGGGGAACTGGGTAAAAAAAACACCAACTCTACTTGAGGAAGTACTGGCAACCAATGGCTGCTGGGAGGGGGAAGAGTCAGTTTCATTGAAAGGTGAGACTCTTGGTAGATTGACCAGGCTCCAGTGGATGGGCACATACCAAAGGGCATTGGGGACACAAAATTGATATTATAGGCCTTAATATATATTATATACATATATGTATATATGTAAAGTTCAATACAATTATCACACATATACACACACGTTAAACATGTATATGTCCCCCAATGGGAAAGACCTAAGAGTTACAAAATGACACTGGAAAAACCTAACACAACTTATTTTCTCTTTTGGAAATAGACTTATTGTTACACAAATCAAGTATTCTACTATTCAATTTATTGGAAACAAAACGAAACAAAGTTTAGCAACCACAACCAAACTTAGGAATGAAGAACATTAAAAGGTATAAGAACCTTCAGAAAATGGTTTTTTAAGTCATGAGCTTAATGCTTACTAGACATGTCAGATGATGTTAGATAAGTGGTTAGGTTGAGCAGGTTTTTTCCAGGCTTTAACACTGACCGTGAGTCATCCAAATTCTGCTTCAGTTCCAAACTTGTTGATTTCTGCTCAGTTGGGCGTCCAGTATAGTTACCACCAGTCAAATGTGGCTATTTACATTTAAATTAAATGAAACTGAAAACTTAGTTCCTTAATCTCAATAGCCACGTATCACACGGGTTCAACAGCCAGCCACAGTCGTCAGCTGCTACCCTATTAACGTGGGCGTGGATTATTTCCACCAGCAGTAATTCTGTCCCTTAGCTCCGTCGTTGACAGTTTAGTGTTTAAAACATAGCAAACAAACAAAACAAAAACATAAAGCCCATCCTGGAAGACACGAGCTCCAAAACCAATAGCTGCCAACAGATGTTACGACTCGCCAAAGAGAATGAAGAAAAATATACTAACCGCTGTCGGGTAAACAAACCCCCCTGCCTACGGGCTTTTTCTGGGAATTCACTGGACAGTCATTTTACCATGGAGGTCATTGGTCCAGCGACGGGAACGAACTTCGCAGATCTCCAGAACCTGGGGCGGAGGGCGTGCAGGAGGCAGGTGCAGGGATGCTCAGCTGGGCGGCCGCCGCCATCCGGGTGGCAGCAGCATCTCTGCTCCGGCGCGCCGCCGCCGATTCGGATCGCGCGCTCCAGCTAGCCGCGGCCGGCTCATGGGGCGGGGCCGTGACGCGCGCACCTCGTGACCCCACTCTGGGCCTGCGCCGGCCGAAGCCGGAAGCCGCGGCTGTGTGCTGTACCGGCCCGGGGCGGAGCTGCAGTGGTCGGCGACCTGGGGCTGGCGGACCCGGGATGGCTTGGGACCCGACCCGGGCGCGGCGCACGGGGGCAGGGCCGCGGTGGTTGCCGCCGCTGCTGCTGCTGCTGTGGTGGAGGCCGGCCCTGTGCGCGCTCCCTTTCGGCAGCACTCCGCGCCGAGGCTTTGCGGACCTCCTGTCGGAGCAGCAGTTGCTGGAGGTGGAGGACTTGACCCTGTCTCTGCTGCAGGGCGGAGGTCTGGGGCTGCCGTCGCTGCTACCCCCGGGCCTGCCCGACCTGGATCCCGAGTGCCGGGAGATGCTGCTGGACTTCGCCAATAGCAGCGCCGAGCTCACTGGGTGTCTGGTGCGCAGCGCTCGGCCCGTGCGCCTCTGCCAGACCTGCCATCAGCTCTTCCAACAGGTCGCCAGCAAGAAGGACAACATCAGCCGAGCCGTCGGGGTGGGTAGAAGGGCACTCCCGGGACCTGAGGCGTGGGGCTGGAAAAAGAGGATGTAGTGATGATCATCTCTGGGGCTTCATTTTTACCAGCCGTAAAAGCAAGGGATTGAACTGGCTGTGGAGTTGGGAAATCGGAAAAATGGGTGACATAGGTGATAGGGGTTTGGATTTTTGCCTCCCTGGATTCTGTAAGCGGGAATCTTCGTGGTATGTATTTGCAGTTAGATTTGACTGGCTTTCTCGGGGGTCTAGCACTCCTAAACTTATCTTCCCTTTTCACCTCCTCCACTCCCCATCTTAACTTGCAGTTCCCAGAAAGGGCCCTTTCAAAACTGTTAGTGGTGGGGGCTGGGGAGATGGCCCCGGTTAAGAACACTGTTCTTGCAGAAGACCCTGGTTCGAATCCCAGCACCTCTAGGCACCTAACAACTGTCCGTAACTCCAGTTAAGTTTGTCTCCATTAGAAAGGCATTAACCACGATTCAAGCAAAGCCCAGTATGTGCAGGTCAGACGATACCTGCTCCTCTGGGAAATCCTATACACAATAATCACTAATCACCTGGTAAGTCAGACATTGAACAGCCTGACAAAATTGGCACCAGGAGAATCCTCCAGAAAGAATGTCCCAAATGGCAACATTCCTTCTACTCCTTAAAGAAAATCTGACTGACATAAGACAGCAAAATATGTTCAGGAGCATTCTTTCTGTTCAGAAGCCAATTCCCGGGGCTGGAGAGATGGCTCAGCGGTTTAGAACACTGGGTGTTCTTGCAGAAGACCCAGGTTCGAATCCCAGCACCCATGTGGCACCTAACAACTGTCCGTAACTCCAGTTCCAGGGGATCCGACAGCCTCTTCTGTCCTCCGCGGGCATTGCACGACACGGTTGCGCTTACCTACATGCAGGCAATACACGCGTACGCCTAAAATAAAAAATAACAAAATATTTTAAAAAAGCAGTGGTTAGGAACTTGAACTTTGCAGACAGACATAGAGCCACCAGTTTCTGGCAGTGTGACCTTGATTATCTTTGCAAAACCTCAGTTTACTCCTCTATAAAATGGTACAAAACTCCTACTTGTTTCCTGTGGGAGTTGCTCTGTGGGAGTTGTCTTAGTGAGTCAGACAATCCGGAGCTAGCAGGCCAGGAGTTCAGTTCCACCCTGTTTATTAGTGATGTACTCTGAGCGAGTCACCTACATTCTCTGTGCCTGTTTTCTCACCTGTAACGTGGGGGTAGAGGGAGGTGGTAGAAAATACAAAATAATAGCTCCTAGTCAGTGGGAGCTAAAATTTGAGGATATGGTCAGTCTGCCTTCCATTCTTGGTGTCTTGAGAGCTTTTCTGGTCATGTGGTAGGTAGTGTGAAAGATTTAATTAAAATGGGTAAAAAGAGGAAGACTCAGTCCCTGCCTCTGAGTACTGTAGAGGGTATGAAGTAGGAAAGAATTAATTAGTGTTAGGGCTGGTGAGAATCACGAGGATGCCAATAGTGACACTGAGGTTGGGAGTGGGAAAGTTCCTTTTGTACTGAGGGGATCAGTATCCTGAAAATCTGCGTTGAGTGACTATGAGTTATAGCTGATTTGACTAAATAGAAACTTGTTTATAGCTGCAACTTGTTTTAAACCAGCCTAATATCACTTCACAGAAACCTTGTTATTTACATAAATGGGGGTTCATTTGCATTAAATAAATTCCATGGTACAACTGTAGCCTTCAATCTAAACTTAGTCTTGGGGAGATTTTTTTTTCCTTAAGACAGGGTCTCCCTGTAGCCCCAGCTGGCCTAGAACTCACAGAGATCCACCTGCCTCTGCCTCAGATTAAAGGTGTGCGCCACCACATCCAGCTCTATAAAGAGCTAGTTTTCAAGATGGTTACTATTTTTTAATTTTTGAAAATTAATTTTTTCCTTTTTGAGGCAGGGTCTTCCTATGGCCCCAGCTGTTCTGAAAGTCACCTGTAGATCCACCTGCTTCTTCCCTAATGCTGAGACTAAAGGCATGCCCCACCACACCTGACGTAATTCTATTTTTATTTTAATTTAATTAGTTTATGTATTTGAGACAAGGTGTAGCCCAAGCTGGCCTTGAATACTCTATGTAGCAGAGGATGATCTTGAACTCCTGATTCTCCTGCTTCTACTTCTCAAGTGCTGAAACTATGTTTTATTCAAATTAGTTTAGTTAACAGGCACTTACTAGTTTTCTTGAGTATAGAGTTGGTAAAAAGAATAGAGAAGAAAAAGGCAGATAAGGTCCAGGACTTAACCTATCAGCGAAGTTGTAAAAGTAGAAGAAACCAATATAAAGGAAAAACAGAGAGAAAATATCACTCAGTGTGTGATTATTCATTATACAGTGACAGTTTAGAGCAAAAGGATGAAGGCGATGCTTCATTAAAGGGGGAACAGAACAAGCCTGGGTTCATTAATCAGAGGAAATCCACAAGCTGCATTTTGAACAGGGCGTCCTTCTCATCTCCTTTAGGATTGATTCAGAGAGGGCAGGAATATAGCAAGGAGAGAGTGAAATCATCAAAGGTAGAAGCTGGCAAGCTTGGGGTTGGCGGTTAATTTAATGGCATTATATAATGAGAATCCTGTTTTGATATTTCCTCTTGGATTTACTTGGACAAGGAACACACAGTTTTGTAGTCTCATGGTGAAGAACACAGTGGTTTGTGAAGCCTGAATGGCAGAACTGATGGATTGCTTTTTTCTTAGTCATACTTTCAGTCTGATAGAGACATGGTTTTATTGAGCCATTCAGCATCATCAAGTGGTTTTAAGGCTACTTTAGCCCCCTCAAATCCTGAGTTGATAAGCTCTATTCTAGTGTATTTGATTTATTTAAAATGTAGGTAGGGGTTAGAGAGATTACTAGGTGGTTTAAGAGTACTGGCTGCTTTTGCAGAGGACCTGGATTTGATTCCCAACACCCACATGGCATCTAACAACCATCCATAACTCCAGTTCCAGGGGATCCAATACCCTTTTCTGGCTTCCTTGGGCACTGCATGATACAGGTGCACTTACATGCATGCAGGCAATACACTCATACACATAACATAAAAATAATTAAAATTTAGGTAAGTAGGGGTTAGAAAGATGGTGCAGAGGTTAAGAGCATTGGCTGCTCTTGCAGAAGACTGGCATTCAGTGCCCAGTACCCACATTGTGGCTAATGACTGTCCATAATGCCAGTTCCAGAGGATCCAACACCCTCTCTGGCCTCCTCCAGCACTGTACACACAAGTGCACTTAAATGCAAGCAAAACATTCATACACATAAACTAAAAATACATAAAAAACATTTAGGTAGGTAGATTGATGTATCTAAGGATGTATAGATACATATTTTCGAAGGAACCAGTCACTTCGATTCTATATCTGGTGAGTATTTGGCATACTCAGTGTATATTAATGTATAGATTCTTAGGACTAGAGGGTGAAAATGGGAAGGTAGTAAAAGTAACCTATGCCTTTCATTAGAGATTAGAAAATGCATTGCAGCCAAGGAACTGTTGGCAGCTGATTACTGCTGGGTGAGGGAGAGTTGCCCTTTAAGGGAGTGATGTTAGATAGGCTGACTAGACACCAGTGGATGAACTTGCACTGGGGGACATCTGGGTACAAAAGCTTGAGTTCGAGGCAGCTGGAGCTGCAGGGAGACCCTGTCTTAAAAAGACAAAAAAAAAAAAAGCTTGACTTCATAAGCCTTAACATATATGACAGAATGCATGAAATCTGGTGGGAAGGTTTATGGGGGGGTGGGTTGGGAGGGGGGAGTCTAAATATGATTAAGATTTATTGTATGAAATGCATAAAAATTCAATAGGAATACACAGTAATAAAAAAAGAAAATGCTGCTGGGCGTGGTGACACACTCCTTTAATCTCAGCAGAGGCAGGCAGATCTATGTGAGTTCAAGGCCAGCCTGGTCTACATACCAAGTTCCATGCCAGCTTGGGCTACAGGGAAACCCTGTCTCAAAAAGACCAAGAAAATAAGGTCATTTTGGTTGTTAGAGTCCAGATCTCTAGATGACCCTCTCCCAGTGTAAAAAAGCCTCACAAGACAGGCCATGAGGGCCCCTTGCAAAACAGGAACTGGCCAGACAGCTACATTTAGAGCTGGCTCAGCACAAAGCTGCTCCCCAGATAATTTTGGAAGATAAACAGGTCCCTGCACCCAGACCCACTGATGTAAGAGCTGTCTCAGTTCAAGCTACTTCCCTTGAGACTGTAATGATTATTTTTGCTACCTTCCACGTTCCCCAACCCCCCATAAGAACTTTCTCAGCAGTCAGAAGGCTGCTGGTTGCCTTTCTCTCCCCAGCTGAGCTGCCAGCCACCAGCAATCCTAAGAAATCAACTGCTTTGCTGGAGTCCTCCTGTGTTTCCTGTGACTATCCCTGCCTGGCTTTTATCTGACATTGGTAACTTGGGTCTGGGGAGGGTGGGAGATGAATTAGACTGAAGTGGTAGTGACTAAGCCACAGGGCACCATCCTATAGGGAGAAATGAGTGGATTTCAGATCTTTTAGGAAGTAGAAAAGACCAGACTTGGTTAATTGGATGTAGGGAGTGAGGGAGAACAACTGATGATTTGCAGCTTAGTGGATAAGTTTCCACTTACTGAGATGGAGGGAGGAACCATTTTGTAAGAAATCATTAAGTCAATTTAGAAATGAGTTGATTTTTCGGTGTTTTGAGCCACCTAACTAGAAATACTGTATATGTATAGCACTTGAAACCTGGTATGGATGAGTAAGAAGACTAAGAGTTGATGATTGAGATAGAGGATAAACTGTCAGAGGAGCCTGAGAAGGATGAATTAGATCAGGAAAATGAGGAGAGTGTAGTGTAGTGTTCTGTAAACCAAGGACGGGGAAGATGTGGTTATTTAGGCCAAATCCTGCTGAGAAGGTTGGAAGTGCATCTATCAACATTAGCGTTAGTGGTGACACTAACCCGAGTGGCTTTGATGGAGTGC